GTACTTGTCCTTGTCGAATTATGATTTTATATATCTTTCTCCAATTGGATAAGGAATTCCTCTACATTATCTATAAATAGATGGGAGTCTTAAGACTTTATTTGTATTTCGATTTATGCAATTTGTTGGAGTGAAGTTGTAATCTCATCGCTCTTATTGTGATCGGGTGTTGGTGGCGGTTTATTTTTATTCCGGTAGACCGTAACAATAAGTGGTCGACCTCTTTGCTAAGGTATGTCTCGTATGTGCTTGTTAATGGTTGTATGTGGTTAAATTTTTCCCTAATTAGGTCGACCACCCCCACCATCCGGTCGACCTTATTTGTGTAATTATATGATTAGGTCGACCTTACAGTAAATTCAGGTCGACCTCATCTTTGTTATTTAGTAATAAGGTCGACCGTACAGTTCATTCAGGTCGACCTGACGAGAGCTAATTGTGTATGTTTTTTACATTAAATTCGTATTCCGATCGTTGCAAGATGGATAACAGAGATGATACAGATGATAGAGATGATGACGAGGTTAACTTCGATGAGGAACCTAAGGATGCTCGAGAAGGAGCTATGGATAATTCAGATGATACAGATAATACAGATGATGAAGTGGTTGGGGATGATAATGAAACCGAGGGTGCTGAAGAAGAATTTATGGATGATGAAGAAGCTACTGAATATGAACAACAAATTCCTTCCATGGAGTTCCAAACATAAGAAGATGCAGAGAAATTTTACGATTCCTATGCTAAAGCGAAAGGATTTAGCGTTCGACGTAGAGATCTTTGGAGGAGTCATCGAGGAGTAGCAATTGGGAGGACAATGGTATGTTCGAGAGAGGTGACTAGAGAGACAATGCAGGTGACCGTGAATGAGATGCGAGATGAGTGGCGATCTTTCAGCGGAAGATACATGCATCCCACCACATCCGACCACCATAATGGTAGCACCACCAATGAAGAAAATGTGGATGAGGGAGAGAGGGCAGATGAGTAGGAGCGTGGAGATTTTAGATTGTGTGTTTTTATTGTTAAGTGGTCAAAACGATTGTTGATTGTTATTCTGTTGTTTTTTTAGTTTTATTTTTATGTGTGAACAATTATGATTTCTGTTTTATTGTATTTCTTGTTAGTTTGTTTAGTTGTTATGCTATGAATTGATGAGTCCTTGTTATCATTATTTATGACTATTTATGATGGTTTGAAACATAATTTATACGAGCAAAAGAACCACACAAATCGACATACATAAGCAAAAAAGACACAGGGCATAGGTTGACTTTATTGTATTCGGTCGACCTCGTACCGGATTAGGTCGACCTCGAAACCAACACTTGATCTTCATTTTACGTCAAACGATTGGACACATTGATAGAACACTTATCTTTTATCTGGTCGACCTCTTTCCTTATCCGGTCGACCATTTTGTTAATGACTGTCATCAAGTGGTCGACCTATATACCTTAGGTGGTCGACCATGTTGTTTCTGACGGCAACGAAATGGCCGACCGAGGTTTTGTTCTGGTCGACCAAAGATAACAACTTAAACTAAGTGCGGTCGACCAGGTGGTCTTTGAGGTCGACCGCAATGCTTTCTCCTGCTGCCCAAATTAGTCAATTCGGTCGACCGCATTCAGGAATAGGTCGACCGAAAAGTTCATGTCACCTTGACATGCATGTCATAGTAGGCATACCCTAACTTTTGTTGTTATTATTATAATATACACATTATCCCCATCCCACACGTTTCATCCCCCATGAGCCATGAAAGAAAGAAAAAAAAACAATAAAACATTAAAAGAAAAATCCCAAAACCCATTACACCATTAACCCCCCAACGTTTGCCCATTAATACCCAAAAACCCATTATTATCATTCCCTTTCCTTTTATTTCCCCTGTAACCGAGAGAAGCAATTTGGAGTGGAAGAAAGAATCATCTCCAGGCGTCTGTTTATTTCCCAGCCACAACGAAGCAACCACGGTAGCGAAAGAGCGCGTCCCATTTTCCCCCTACATCTCGTTCCTCCGCTAGGCAGACGAAACAACGCCGGAGCAGGAAGCGCTTGCGAAACCGAACAGACAACAGCTCCACCTCCCCCTTCTTACGTGACTGGAGCTGGCGGCAGCAGCAAGGATGAGAGACGGGTACGGGACGGCGCTGAGAAGAGCGCGAACCCAACAACAACGACTGTGAATAAAGGGAGTGGAGCGGCTTTTGGATCCCTCTCCGTCGACGATATCGGCGACCACCCTGGCGTTGTTGACTTTGTTGACTTCAATCATAATTAAAAGGGTGGATATGGTTGTGAAGAGAACGATCCCATGATCATCACCATGTCAACGAAATCGAATTCTGACATCCGATGAAGGAGAACCGAGCCTCCAAAGTTTGGACAAAATCTATCAAGTTCAGGTACCATTCTTGGTAATTCGAAAAATTGGTGGACTGAATAAGAAATTTTACAAAAGGTTCAGGGTCAAAATTAATCGCTATTCGTCACCCTAAAATTTAAATTTCGTCGCCCTAAAATGCTCCAAATTGACACTATTACCCCTATTCCCAATTTCAATCTAAACCTTACATTAAAAATCTCTATTCCCTTGCCCAGCCGTCGCCGAGCTCTTCCGTTCTCTGACTGCTAATGTCGTTGCCGGATTCTTAAATCCAACTCGTCTTTCTTTTCTTCAACCCAAATCACCCCGCTTCCAACACCACAGCCAGGTCCTCCGCCGCTCGTACGAACGAGTGGATCAGCTAGGAGTACCTAGCAAGAATTGGAGAAAAGTAGTTACCTACATCCAATTTAGATCCAGGCTTCCTTGAAAGAGTGGCCTTTTCCTTTTCTGATCACTACTACTTTCAAACCGAATGAAAGTGAAAACTACATAAGATGGCGGTATTATTTCTATCCAACATGTAGTGGGCGTAGCGGTGCAACTTTGGAATATATCCTGTTGGCGGCGGCCAATTTTGACAACCATCAAGTCTGCAATCAGCCCAAGCTCCGGAATCTCCACAACAAAGGCGCCGCTACCGCCTCCTCACCTCTCGTCGCCGGGGCTCAAAATCTCTGGCGGTGGAGGAACTGGGAAATTAGGGCTATGAGTTTGTTTTTAAGTTTTGAAAAATAAATAAATTAATTAAGGGTATTAGAGTAAATTTAATCAGGGCGATAAATAATCAACTTTAGGGAGACGAATAGCAATGCCCTGGTCAAAGGGTTGACGTGAAAAATTGCGGATATGGTACCTGATATTTTAGAATCTGACGTAATTCTTATTTTGGCCATACCTTGTCCGTTTGACGTCCAAACGAGCAACCGTCGACGCCTATGGAATCGTGGAAGCAAGGAGATTATTTTGGAGGCGAGTATGAGAATTTTATATCAGAATCAGATTCGGTTTCGACGGATATGAGGTAAGTGTAAAGGGGGTAAAATCTCCGTCTAGGTCTTTTAGTTTATGTCTTTTAATTCAGTTATGTTTGTTAACTTTTTCAACTAAGCGCGATTATGTGTGTGAGGCATCCCACCGCCTACTTAAGGTGGAGGCACGCATTGTGCTATGTATGTGTGTGTTTATGATGTATGATTGATGGTAATTGAACCCCCGGGCGGTTGAGCCACTACTGGACGCAGTAGATGGTCGGATCACTGCTGGACGGCAAGATGTAACGCAACAGTTGATCGAGTATGTTGGGGTCACTACTGGACGAAGAGGCGTAACGTAGTAGTTGACCGGGCATGGACTAGATGGCGAGACGTAACGTTGTAACATTGACGAGTTTGGGTATGCAACCAGACGGCGAGACGTAACACGGTTGGCATACTATGGTAGGACACCGGACGGCGAGACGTAACGCGGTGGTCCTAGTGTTTTGTGTTTGAGTTAAGGATAGAAGTTGAGAACTTATATGAGTTAAAGTTGAAATGAGTTATTAAGGATGAAAGTGAGAGTGGCTTTCATCTAAGGGAATGAAACGCTAATAACGTGTTTTAGTAAGGAGATTTCTTAGGCAAAGACCTTAGGAAGTAACGACGAGACTGACCCCTTCTCACTCACCAGGTTGAGGAAGGGTTAGCAGAGGGGGATTCCGAGAAGAAGTAAGAGGGGGCAAGCTGTCACACCAGCATGGACGAGACCTCAAGGAATCAACAAGGTGTTAGAGCTAGAGTTAGTTTAATTATTTTGTTAATGATTATGAGTATATGTACTGGAGATTCAAGATTCTGTGTTAAGTGTTTTAAGTGTTTGAGATTAAGATTTTGTCCAAGAGTTGGGGCTTTTCGTTTGAAATTCTTAAATAATGTCAGTTTGTTTATTTTAAAATGTGGTTTGGGTTTCTCCGGAGTAACCGATTTTTGGTTTTGAGTTATGGTTTGGTTTTCGAAAAAGTTCAGGTCGTTTCATTGTCAATTAAGCTTCTTCACTCTCCACTCGATAATATCAACTTCATTCTACACAATTAGAAAGAAAAAATTAGACATGTCTCCACAAACGTAAAGATGATTAGTTGTTTAGAATATTATATATACCGGGAAAATTAATTATATGGTGTGGGCGGGTACCCATGGGACGGGTTTACCTAAACCCAAATCCAAACCGGTGAATAGTGAACGGGTTTAAGCTCGAACCCGGCCCAAAACCCGTCAACACGGATTTAACCCGCGTTGACTGGGTTGGGTCCGGTAGGGTACCCATGGGTTCGGGTTTTGTTGCCATCCCTAGTTGTGTTTTGGAATTTTAGACTAACGGGTATTAATGGGTCACCCGCGGATACCCAAAGTAGCAATTTTCATCCCAAGTCACATTCCGTAAAAAAAAAAAAATTACGGGTATTTGGGTACCCGTAATTCTAAAAAAAGGGATGGATACGGGTATACCCAATTATCCGTTTCCCATTGCCCACCCCAAGGCCTTCTAGCACCCAATTTTTTTTAACATAGTCAACAATGAATTAAAGTCGACTAATTGTCGAATTTTCGATGAAAGAGCGTTTTTTGCCACAAAATAGGCTGTTCTATTAGCTCGACGAGTAATATGTGAACAAGAACATAACTGGAGTAGTCCGGCCACTGTGCAAATGTCCTCTAGTATTGCTCTTCGGGGGCATGGTGAAAATTGCCCGCCAACACCCGTTGTATAGTCGGTAGAGAATTGCCATGGCAGTCGAGGAAAAGGAAATGATGAGTGAAACACCATTGTAAGGCATCACAAAATGCCAAAACATCTGCAAGAAAAGAATTATGAATGCCATTATAGAACTTACCCATGCCAAATAGAAGCACACCCGTACTGTCATGACCCACAAAACCAACCCCAACTCCTCTCTGACGTCGCGCCCAACAATTGAAATGAACATCGATAGGCGCCAGCGAAGGGAGAGTAGTCACCGTCAAGCTGGAGACAACCGACATTCGGTAGTGAATAATGACGGAACAAGGGTGACGAGCAGACCGGTTACCTAGGGAAGTTTGAGGTGGATTCTTGGACATGTCCGTGGTTGAATCTTAAGTCGTTGCTCTCCATCAGCCAATTGAGTAATAAATTGACGATGTCAAGCCGAAAAAAGATAATGGATCCCACCATGAACATACCAACATCTTCCTTTCCAGATCCGCCAGAGCAGGAAAACAATCTCGGGAACCTGCAATTTTGTCAACCAGAGAGAAAAGAATAGAAGTTTACAGGAATTACCAAAATTCTGACCTATAATTTGTTGTCGGATATTCGCTTTCCCAGCAAGATCCCAGATTGCTCTGGCAATTTGGCATTGAAGGAAGCAATGTTGAAATTGGAAGGAAGTAACTAGACAGATCAAGGAAGTAACAAAAGTTTTGCAGAGAAGAATCGTTTGAATTGGAAGGATGCCACGAACACACCGCCACACAAAATTTTGCAGTTTGGGTGGTAGTGGCAGACTCCATAAGAATTTCCAGAATTTGGAATCAAACTACAAGGTGGGAGGCGGATGCCATATCAAGCAATCCTCTGTAGGGTACAATGCTAGGGGGATACCCAAAGAGCAGGATCGTAGACGTGGGGAAAAGGCTCTCTAAAAGCTCGCGCTTCTAGCAAAGACGAGTAGAATAAATCAAATCAACTACCTTGAGGAGAACGTTGGAAACCCCCGGAAGTAAGAGAGGAGAAGAAGGATGAGTGGTCGGCATCCAAAGATCATCAAGAACACGAACCGAGGTGGCTGTCCCAATCTAACACCCAATTTGATTGAGTAGTTGGCACTCACCATCTAACTCATAGATTCTCCGATAATGCTGGAAAAGCGACAATTTTTTATTGGGTAAATGACAAGATTGCCATTGAGGTCTGGAATTACTAAATTGTTTTACGTTTGTTCACTAAAAATATTTTATTGATATGTAGTCACTAATTTTATACTTTCTTTTCATCATTGATCACTCTCCATCTTTCATCATGTGATATTCGTCCTATGTGGCAATCAACTCTCATAGTTGACCGTTAAATCATAAATGTGTGACGTGACTATTAAAAATAAAAATAAAAATGCAATCTTTCAAATTTCCACCTCAATATCACAATTATTAAAAAAATTTAAAACCTAGTGTCTTACAACTCTCTCTCTCTCCCTCTTTCTTAAACTTGATCCCTAAACCACCGCCGCCATCCTCTGATCTCTTCCCCTCCCCTCCAAACAAAAAAGCGATTGCCAAGACTTCCGGTGCCCCTCCCACGACGGTTGGTCACGGTAGAGGAGGCCTCGCAAAAAACTTTTTCCCGACGCCCTCGATATAAATATCATCGTCAGCAAAAAGCCTCAATCCCCCCCCCCCCCCAAATTCGACACGATTTCTGCCGCAAACAAAATCGATCATTTATGGCAACCTCCATCGTCGATGAACTGGACAACAAGAGACCCAGGACACTTGCATCTCCCTCGACCGAAGAGTGGCGCCTTCTTCTTCTTGCTTTGCTGATCCGACCAGCCGTTTGACGATCAGGTAGACTATGAGGACAATGTTTTGGGCTCACAGTTCTTGGCGGACTTTGATATTCTCGAGGCTGATTTCAGATCTGATTGATTTGAAGAACGACATGAGAAGTAAATTGGAAGTAATAACAAGGGTGGAAGAAATAACAACTTCCACCGTTTTTAAGGATAAGCATAAGGGGTCATTTGGATTAAAGTTTTTTATGATAGATTTTAATCAGAATCTCTCATTATGCAGGATTTTAAAAATTTCTGCGTTTGGTAAAGATGAAGGGTTTTACAATTAGGAAATTTTAAAACTCTCATAAAACCCTCAAATGAGGGTTTTAAAATAGTTGATTGTCATAAGCTATTTCCAAATCTCTCATTTTTGTTTCATTTTCACCAAACTTTACCCCTTATCGGTTGCTTTCTTCTATCTTCTCTCTACGACTAGTAACCTTCTTCCTTTTTTCTCCCGGCGTCGTCGTCAACTGCTCCCTTTCGCCACAAGAAACAAGACCATCTCTCACCCCGGAGATTAAGATTCCGGCTGAACTAGTGCAGCGCATCTCAAGCTCGCGACTGCTTCTGTAAAACAAGTGGAGACAAAGGAACACAACATTCTGGCAGTAGCTGCTAAGATCTTCGACGGCAGCAAGTGCAGGAGGGTGGGCTTCATTGAATCTTCACCTATGTATCTGCGTCTAGGGGTGTCAGTTCGGGTCGGGTTCGGTTACACAAACCGAAACCCGAAAAAACCCGAAAAGCCAAAATCAAAATAACTGGAAACTGAACTCGAACCTGATAAGGACTTTCGGTTTTCGGTTACCCGAAACCCGAAAATTCCTTATCGGGTTCGAGTTCGGTTAAAACAAAACCGAAACTCGAAAAACCCGAATGCCTAAGAATACGGGCTGAGTTCTATTCCTTGGAGGTTTTCAGACGGAACGCGAAAACCCGATAAGCAAAACCGAACACGAAATCGAAAAAACCCGAAACAAACCCGAACCAAAAAAACCGAAAATGTATCTAATCAGGTCGGTTTCGGGTAAACCCGAAAAACCGAACACGTATAGAAACCCCTATCTGCGTCGGCTTCTTTCCAAAATATCGAGGGCAGAATCTATTTGTCACTCTATCTCTGCTCATATCCGGCGTTCTCCTCCAATCTGCATCGGCAAATCGATTGTTGTTGTTGCTGGCGACCTCAAACTCATCCAATTTAGCAAACCCTTCCTTCTTCCCATCTCATCCCCATCCTCTCCACCCTCTTTCTCCAGTAAGCTTAAACTCCGACCAGCTTCTTCCGGCAGCCAAGCAAAGCTCTGTGCATAAATACTCAGTCTCGCCGCGTTCTCCCGACCCTCACAAGCCTCATCTGTTTCGCTGTCAACCCGCTTTCCTCTCAAGCCTGCTACAATCAGATCCATTCGCCGCCAATAAGATCTATTCGAAAGGTAATCGCCTACCATTTTCTTTGGCTTTCCTCGCTAGCTTTCAGTTCGTCACATGCGTTGCTCCTCGTTCGGAGTCGACGGTTGTAGGTCTGAAATTGTCTGAGTATGCAATTGAAGCCCAATGATTCTCTGATTGTATTTTCTAGGGGTGGATTTGAGGTTTCCCACTTTGCAGCAGGTCGATGAAGTTCAACCCTTTGTAGAAGATGAGCTGAAGAAACGAAGAAGAAGAAGAAGAGAGGGCTAAATGTGTAATTGGGTTTAATTGGGCTAAAATCACTGATCCATTTCCAAACGTAGAATTGGACTAAATCCCACGTTTTAAATTCCTAGATTTTTAGTTGAGATATTTGGGCCTCAAATCCCTCTTTTTAAAATAACTGATCCAAACGGGGCCTAAGGGAAAACTCTCAAGCATTCTGAGGCTTTTAGGGGCCGTTTGGAGAACGGGATTTAGGACATGGATTCACTGAATCCGTAGATTTTGTAGAAAGTTATGTTTTTTTGTTGCTTTTTGTATTGTGGATTCTAACTTTAGAGATTTCAAATCTCTAAAATCTGTGGATATCAAATCTCTCATAATCAGATTGATTTTATATCTTGATTCGTGAGATTTTTTCTCTCCTAATTTTTCTCTTTCTTTTATTTATTTATCACATGAAATATATTTATCAACAAAGTTTTTTATATTTCTCGACCACTCTAATTTTTTTATTAAGGATAAACATGTTATTTAATATAAAAATATTTTTTTTTATTTTACTTGAATGTTAACAATCACAGTTACCAAACAATAAACTTTTTAAAATCTGTTTTCAACAATCCAAAGAGTTAGAATCTTTAGATTGTTGACAATCTGTAGATTTAAACTCATATTCTCCAAACGACCTCTTAGTAAGGATGTTGACTGATTTTAACTCACTCATCAGGTCGTAGAGAATGATTGAGGGACAACCAGTTGGAGATCAACCATATAAAGGAGGACTTCGGTACAAAAATTTTCAATTTCATGTAATTAGTAGGACTTGAGACTTGATGTGAGTTTATTTAGAATATTTATGATTCCCGCTTATGAAAGTTTCAAGGAGTTGTTATTTGAATTTAAAGTATTTATTGAAACATATTATGAAAAAATTCCACTATTTTTGCCAAGTAATTTTAGTTCTCATTTTGGTTCACAATTTATCAAGGACATTTTAATAATAGTAGTACTCAGCCGGGTTAGGGTGTTATACTACCCATCACTAGAGGTGTGTAATGGTGATCCGTACCGGATCGCACCGAACTAAACCGAAATTTTGGACCCTATCATACTTAACCAAATATAATACAGTCCAATTCGTAATCCTATGAACTTTGTAAATAATGGAGAAAAATGGACTAAATTGACATTTGAACCGAACCAAATTGAACCAAATGACCTGGTCATGATCTTGAGATGTCTTTCACTATTATAGTGTCGTTCTCATGAGACTAGTTCGAAAAATTTCAAGAAATAAATGTTTTCAAAATAAAATTCATAAAATAGTGGTACTTCACAACTGTTTCCCAACATATGTGTTTAGGGGTCGTTTGGATGGAGTATTTGTATGAGTTATTTGGCTTCAAATAACTCATAATGAGTTATTTGGACACAAATAACTTGTTTGGCAGCGTTTTACTGAAATGAGTTATTTGGACAGTGAGTTATTTACAAATATCTCAAAACGAGTTATTTGAAATAACTTATACACATGTGTTATTTCGAAATAACTCGTTTTATCACTCTGCTTTTATCAAATACCACATGTCAAATACCACATTTGCATGGTTCAACCAAACGAGATACTTTATTTCAATTACCACTAAAACAAACTGAAATATCACATGAACAATAAATGAGTTATTTAACTCTACAAATACCACATTGACAATTAACCCATCCAAACGACCTAATTCATTGACGACATATGAAATGTTGACGTGGATGCTTGAGAGAACGTGTTGACAACACTTTTCTTCTTTTGTTTTTACTTTTTGGAGATCAAAATATTTTTTTTCAAGAAACTTGTGAATAAACTACCCTTTTTTTTGCATCTGACTACATCAATCTTAATACATATTACACATTTTTTTAGGTGTTTTGATAAGTGGACTATCATATTCATACACCACGTGACATATTCATACAACACATTTAATATATTCATATAACATATTTGACATATTCGTACAATATTTTTAGAGTTTTCAAATTGAATACGTTTAACAAGTGTTTTAAATATTGTTAACTATTGTTGTTAATATTCTTAACCGTTGTTTATATTTTTAACAATTGTTACGAATATTCTAACTAAACATATTTTGTGAAAATTATAAACGGCTGTCGGAATACACGTAGTCAACATGAATATGTCAAATGTGTTGTACAAATATACCACGTGATATGGGTGAATATGTTAGTTCACTTATCCAAACTCCTTGAGAAATGTGTTACATACCAAGATTAGATGCAAAAAATAAATAAATTAAGGACAATTACTTTAAAAGTTTCTTAAAAAAAAAGTTTTGAAACTCAAAAATTAAAAACAATGGAGAAATTCTTAGAATCCCCGTCACGGTACATATGTCGCTAGTTTGTCAAGCAACATAACAAATGTCGCCAATTCAAGTAGCGACTTTTTCCTTCCCTTGTCATGTGTGTAAAAAAATTATTGAAAAATAATTATAAGGAACCCTATATCAAAGGATATTTTCTTTTACGAAACATTTATTTTTGGAAAAAATTCAACCGACCAAACCATTGTACACCCCGCGGCCCGCACATCTTGAAGCTAAGAGCAATTGCCAATTAGTTTAAGCCGTACGCTCTAAGCCCATGAAAAAACTTGGGCCTTATTTGCTCTTAATGGACGTTGGGCCGCTAATTACGAGCCATAATTTGATTCCAAAATTTAGTTTGCTCGATGCCTCCAAGGCTCCAACGGTAATCGGGAGGCGCTTCTCTACTGTTGATGCTTCTTCTCCGAGAGACATCCTCCGATTACACAGAGGTAATTCCTGCCTCCGGTTTATGTTGCTATCATCGTCTTTATAGAAAACGCCTCAATGAACTTGCCTATGTTAGCGAGCGTTGTTAGCAGGCAGGGGCTGTTGTTTTCTGCTTAACGGAACGCCACTTGCTCGATGAAATGCCTGAACGAACATTCGAATTTGGTATTATTTCTATTTCGTGGAAGAGAATAAGAAGTTGTATCCCTTTGAAATTGTTGAACTTTGTATTTGCGACAGTCGGGGTAGTTCTGTTATGAAAATGAACCAGATTTGATCTTGTTGTGGCATGTTGATTAAATAGCCCCAATTGATGAAGCTGTGGAATTTACTCCAGAGTGCTACAGTGCTAGATGGTGATTCCTCCTAAAGTTAGAACACCTAGAATCACTGAGTATCTCAAGTCAGATGTTCTAATTCCTAAAGGTGCATTTATGTCAGCTACAGTTGTTCACTCACCAACTTCCATGTTTTATCATATAGGCTCTTACTTTGGCTACTGCTTGCTTTTCAGTTCTACAGAAAACATCATGGATTTCACGCTCATGTTTTATCATATAGGCTCTTACTTTGGCTACAAGTTACATATTCGTTTTGATGCTCTGTGCACTCAGAAGGAATGCCTTTTATTCTGTTTTCCTTTCTTGGCAGTTGGTCTATCGCCTAGTGAGAATCTGGAACCTCCAATGGATACTGGTCAATGGAATCAGACCAAACGTTCCAATGATCTGGTTTCATCTTGGTAATGCACTTCCACACAGCACTGTTACACTTGAACCCACTCCCGAACCCTATCTGCCAGACTTTATCCCCTCTTCGAATCCTCCCTTTGGCCTCTAGATAGCTCAGGGAATACCAGATCGATGAAGATGATGTGTTTCCAAACCTGTGAAGCGTCATCTTTGATGCCTCCACGTCCATGTCTCTCAATTGCAGGCTCTTCTTCATAGCATCAATCACAGCTTTCCCACCTGCATAGTTATCAAAATCATGATTCTAGCAAAGATGGCCTCTTTGGGGTCCTAAAATTTCCAAAATACAAATCAGGATTTGCTTAACATTGTCTACCTGTATGAATGCAGAAATGGTCGAAGGCCTTCTTGAAATCAGGCATCTTCACAGCTCTCCTATCTTTAGACCGTATTCTCTTCCAAACCATTGATACTCCATACCTGATTAGCTCGGAGTAAGGCAATGCCACGACAGCTAAGGTAGCGAGGTTCGTCTTCAAACCCTCACTCGCCACTTGCAGGATCGACCTCGAGAGTGCCACCCCAGTGTGGCCTTCATCATCAGTCTCCTGAAACACGCACTTGTAAGACATGTCTTTGTACCCGATGTGGGTTTTCACTATATGTTGGAGCTCGTACTTGGCGGTCTTGCTGTCGGCCTGGCGATTCGACAGCAAGAACGCTGCCCCTCCCATTCGAAATAGGCAGTTCGCCAGGAGCATGGACTTCACTTTCCCTTCGTAGATGCTCGGGCAGATGGCCTCCACGCTGAGAACGAGCGCTACCGTGTTCTTGTGAACTCGAAGTATGTCTCGAGCCAGTGATAGAGATACCAATCCAGCACTGCAACCCATCCCGGACAAGTTATAGCTCTTGACATTGCTCCTGAACCCGAACTTGTTGATTAGCATCGCAGATAGAGAAGGGGTTAGTGAGACCATGCTGCAGTTGGTGATCACGACGTCGATGCTCTTCGGGTTCATCTTGAGCTTGGTCATGAGGTTTCGCACCATGGAGAAGAGGACCATCTCGAGCTCTTCCTCGGCGTACTTCAACGAGGTGCTGGGGGGCAGGGTATGGACCCCGCTGGGGAGGTAGCTCTGGTTGCCAATGCCCGAGCGCTCGACGACCTTGGTCTGGAAGTCGATCGTGTCCCTGTCGAGCTCGGACATGATCTCGGCGTGCTCGATGAACGTGGAGGTGGGGACACGG